ATCAGTTACAATGGGAGTCATCCAACCGGAGGGAATGAACGGCGATCTAGGCTACCAAGATGTGCACGAAAGAATGATCCACCAGGCTACACCACGTGGAATGACCCAACAAAATATATTGAGTGCGAATGCAATGGCCGACCCAGTCAAACAGGATGACCTAGTGGTATCCCCCTCTCCTATGGAGTAGATACTGGCCAAGAGACTGGCTGATGTAGAGGCAGTGATGAGGGGCATACCAGGAATGTCGATCCCCACCAAGAAGAGCAAGCCTCACTACTATGCTAATTCGCCCTTTATGGATGCGATCGCCCTAGCCGACGTGCCCCACAAGTTTACTATTCCAGCATGAAGCCCTATGACGGCACAACTGACCCAGATGATCACATAGTCTCGTACAAATAGCGGATGCTCATTGTCTCAATACCCCAAGCGCTAAGGGAAGCCGGCATGTGTAAGAGTTTTGGTTCAAGCTAAACCAGTCCAGCACTCCAGTGGTACACAAATCTCCTAAACGGTTCCATCGACTCATTCGCACAACTCACCGACACCTTTGTGGAGCAGTTCACCAGCAGCAAGAAGCTCGAGAAACTATCGGCTGATCTATACAGAGTATACTAGAAGAGGGGGGAACCACAGAGAGAGTATGTCAGCAGATTCAACAAAGAGAAAATTTCCATTCCTTCCTGCAACCTCGAGACAGCCGTAGACTCATTCAGAAAAGGTCTCCTCCCGGATGGTGAATGATACAAAGAACTGACGAAGCTCAATTGCACCACGATGGAAGACGCCTTGGCCACAACGACGATTCAAATAAGGTGGGAGGAAGAAGAGATGAATCGGGCGACTCATGTCAAGAATGACTGAATGCAGAATGATAGGAGGCCAGAGCTTAGATCGATTGTAGGCCCTACAAGATCACCAAAGCAGCAAGGAAGGGCGCCTACCGACCCCAAACTCCCGAAGGCAAAGACATCAGCAACAATTGAAATGCAGTCCATCCCACACGCCACTACTTTTAGGTAAACTCAATCTAAATATTTGTTGTCTTTTCATTTTTAATTTAAAAATGATGAGTGGGCCCGTCCACTTCGTTCACAGGCAGTCAGTCTCATGGCCCAAATTCAATGAAGCATTATTCAGCAACTGACACCTTCGAATCGGCCCAGCCCGATTCACAAGTTTATACCTTCGGATCGACCCTGCTCGATCCATGGATTTACACCTTCGAATTGACCCTGCTCGATCCATAGATTTACACCTTCGGATCGACCCTGCTCGATTCACGAAGTTTTTACACCTTCAGATCGACCTTGCTCGATCCACGAATTTTTTACACTTTCGAATCGACTCTGCTCGATCCACGGATTTACACCTTCGGATCGACCCTGCTCGACCCATGGATTTTTTACACCTTCGGATTAACCCTACTCAACCCACAGATTTTTTACACCTTCAGATCGACCCTGCTCGATCCACGGATTTACACCTTCAGATCAACCTTACTCGATTCACGAATTTTTTACACCTTCGGATCGACCCTGCTCGACCCACAGATTTTTTACACCTTCAGATCGACCTTGCTCGATCTACGGATTTACACCTTCGAATTGACCCTGCTCGATTCACGAATTTTTTACACCTTCGGATTGACCCTGCTCGATTCACGGATTTTTTACACCTTCGGATCGACCTTGCTCGATTCACGAATTTTTTACACCTTCAGATCGACCCTGCTCGATCTACGAATTTACACCTTCGGATCGGCTCATGAAGCTACACACTCAGTTAGCCAGACTGAGCAAAGGGTTGATACACCCATAAATCGACAAGTCATCGACCTAACCCAACGAGAAGTCTACATGACTCAGCCACTAAGTCGAACCAAAGTCAACACCAGCATATGAGTTCAACCCCTAGTACATCTACGAGCAAAGAAGCAATCAAGAACTCACTCACCCATCAAGAAAGCATCAAAAAACATAACAGCAAGTATAACATATAAATAGCCTCAAAACAGCTCAGTTCATAGTACAATGAAAGGCACACACGCCAAGAAAAAGGGTATCACATGCCCCAAAATACATGAGCAGAAGGAAAAACTAAGGTAAGTGTCCTCAGTTCGAGCCGTCTCTCCCATCTCCGACTCGGTCACCCTATCACTAACACTCACCCAACCTTTTACCTCTCAGTCAACCCGTTCGTATGAACATGGTGCCCTGATCTGGATCGAATCAAGAATGTGATACATTGTCCGGAGCCGCCACACGTCATTTTCTTTAAGCATGGGCGGATAATCCTTGCTTAGAATCCCATTTCCCTGTTGACTCAGCTTGTTCTCAGAGCCACTACTGGACGAGGATGGACTACCAACTCCTTTGGAGTCTTCCCCACTCGCCCCTTGTCGGCCCAAACCACTCGGCTTAGTAGCATTCGTCCCTTGGGCAGCTATGGTCACATCGGTCGGTATACTTATCAGAACGGCCCCTTCGGGCATCATCACCATGGTCGGGGCACTCTCGTACTCATTCCCAACAGCTGCCCAAGCCCCACTAGAACCACTCAACCCCGAACCAGACATTTTTAGCGTATCCACTCTACCCAACCGACTCAACTCTAGAATCCTTACTCCCCAGGAACCAAGTATTAGATCACCACTCTCCCTATACCACCGACCGACCCGGTCTTTTCAAACTTAACGACTTTATCACCATTCACCCCACCCCACCCCACGCCACGCCACCGATCAAATCACAAACTTAACCTATCTAAAGATTCAATCACCCTTCCTACCCGACCGAGCTAGCACACTGTAACACGCCGGCTCCCTCAACGAAGCCGACACTCCCATGCTTCATGTCCAGGAGATTTTCCCAATCGGGGCGACTGGCCTGGAACAGTCTACCAGACCTTTTGCCTTGAAACAAGCGAGGCAAAAGGGCCCGGTTATTCGGTCTTCCCTAGAGGACGAGTGGATACTGTTAGCACTCACACAACCCTTGGCCTGGATCAGACCGCTCAGCCCGAGCGAACGTTTGGCCCAATCTCACCCATTCGACCCAATGGCACCTAGTAAGGACAGCCCCAAGCGATCATTCTAGTATCCTCCATGCGGTCAAGCAAGCTGGTCGAGTCGATTTCATCTACTCATTCGGCCCAATACATCGAGCGAGCGCGCCTTCGGTTAACTTGTTTACTCACTCGACCTGCTTACCGATCGAAGACACCTGTGATAAGTAAATTGTTCATCTCTGCACTCAGCCAGACACACCGAGTGATTACTTGTACACAGATGGATTACCCCTACTCTGATCCGCTCGGCCTCGCACACCGATCGACCACATCCCCTTGAGTTGGGTGCACAACATGACTCCGCGAAGGATACCGAATGACTCTTGACCACACGCCATCTCCACCCGATCGATCAGTTACATCGGAGACATTAACTTCTAGCGTGATCGTGCTAGCAATCGGTCGACTGTGGAGGACGATCGGAGACGCCTCGGGGGATTCCTACTCTCTAAGTTAAGCACACCTTAACTCAGAGAGTGGGGGACAAACAGTCAGGGCCAAAAAATGTCCTCGGCCCAAATAGGATAACACATCTGACAGAGTTAAGCCTAGGCCTAGTCCCGATGCGGTCTGAGCCAAAATTCCCCATATGAGGCCCATTCGGTGCGAAGTATAGCCAGTCCATACCATCTGGACCCAAGCCTCCTGCTCCCAGCACACCACCTGGGCCTATGGCCCAATTTGAAGCCCACAGTCAACTACGGATCACACTCTTACTTGAACTCTAATAGGGTAGTCCACTACTACTGCAACTCCTCCAACACCCGTATCCGAATCATACTTGGACTCCCTTTTACGCCATGATAAGGGGGCCAAAGGATACATCACAGGGGGAGGACGATTACAATGAGAACTCCCAATCCTACCAGGATTGGGAGACCAGATAGTCACTATTTAAACAGAGGTCAGCCCTCTCACAAGGCAGATTACACTACACTTACAAACCCTGGAGTTCTAACTTGAGAACTTCACATCACAGTCGTAGTCACAGTCCCCGACTAGACTTTTGGTAACCTTTCTACTCCCTAGCCCTCACTAAATTAGCCTTTCAACCTTGCTGACTTGAGCATCGGAGTGCCTACGGCAAACACCACCTCGGTGTTCTTCGTCGCTTCACGTGTGTTTCCTTACGTGTGCAGGTATAGCAGATCGCTAGTGGCCTCAACCTCACGGGATCAGTCCCTCCTTCTGTACTAGTAGATTTTTATGTCTATGGTCAACAAAAAGCTACTATATATAATATCGTGCATTGTTTTTTTCAGGATCACTTCAGCATAGTATGGATACATGATATATGGTACTACCCTTTCATGTGTATCGTCAACAAAAAGCTACCATATATACTATTGTGCATTATTTTTTTGCCTTTTTTTCAAAATCACTTCAGCATAGTATGGATACATGATATATGCTCATGAGATAAGCTACTGGTCTAACCAGAAAATTTTCTATGCTTGAAATCAAAGATATGTATCAATACTTCGCAGTTGATCGGTGTAGAAATTTAGATTAACTTGGAGATTTATTACGAAAGTATCAGGAAGATAATGTATATTTGGGTGATTACCTAAAGATGGTAGTGCAATGTTTAAAGAGAAAACAATGGAAGAAGTTCCCGGTTCCGCCAAAATTTACTTTAAAAAGGTAAAAGAAGAAGGAAAAAAGTCTACAACAAGGCCTTGACCTCTGCCACATTGTAAAAATTTTCAAATTAGAGGGCTTGAATCGGTCCTTTTCACATTATCCTTGAAAAATGCAACCAGAAAAAGATATCAAAAGAAATTTATCGTTTGTGCATGTGCACTCAAACTAGTTCAGTAGCAGTGATATAAAAGACAAATGAGGCTTAGATAAGTGATGACGATGGCTAGCTCCCTCGTTCCCTATAAAAGGACACTCAATCTTCTCAGTTTTCCACAAACTCGAAAATGTCTTCCAAATACTTACCAGTGTTGTTCCTGCTCGGAGTGGTTCTTTTCATCACTTCCTCACTTGCTGATAACCATCATGAGCCTCCCAAAAATGAGCATAAGCCACCAGAACACAAACCACCAAATCACAAACCACCTCACGGACACATGTTGGTAGAGGAAGTTGAGGACTCACACAAGCCCAATTTCCCAGGACATGGTGGCAAGGGTGAGAAGCAACCACCCAACAAGCCTAATTTCCCAGGACACGGTGGCAAGGGAGAGAAGCAACCACCAAAACACAAGCCACCGCATGGAAACATGTTGGTGGAGGAAGCTGATGACTCACACAAGCCTAATTTCCCTGGACATGGTGGCAAGGGAGAGAAGCAACCACCGAACAAGCCTAATTTCCCAGGACATGGTGGCAAGGGAGAGAAACAGCCACCCAACGAGCCTAATTTCCCTGGACATGGTGGCAATGGAGAGAAGCAACCACCCAAGCACAAGCCACCGCATGGACACATGTTGGAGGAGGAAGTTGAGGACTCACACAAGCCTAATTTCCCAGGACATGGTGGCAAGGGAGAGGAGCAACCACCCAACAAGCCTAATTTCCCAGGACATGGTGGCAAGGGAGAGAAGCAGCCACCCAACGAGCCTAATTTCCCAGGACATGGTGGCAAGGGAGAGAAACAGCCACCCAACGAGCCTAATTTCCCAGGACAGGGTGGCAAGGGAGAGAAGCAACCACCCAAACACAAGCCACCGCATGGACACATGTTGGAGGAGGAAGTTGAGGACTCACACAAGCCTAATTTCCCAGGACATGGTGGCAAGGGAGAGGAGCAACCACCCAACAAACCTAATTTCCCTGGCCACGGTGGCAAGGGAGAGAAGGAGCCACCAAAGCACAAGCCGCCAACTCATGGAGAAGTTGAGGATTCACATAAGCCACCCAGGAAGCTGAAGCCACCAACTCATGGAGAGAAGGAACCAAAGCCCTACCACAAGCCACCCCATAAGCCCCCATCTTCCAATTGATCAGACCCTACACATATATATATCTATAGGAATTTCCTCGTATGAAGAAATAACAGACCATGCAAATCATATATCAATTTCTTGAGATTAGTATTCTGTTCTGTGTATTAGTTACTACTTAAGAGGAGTATTATTTGTTTTGCTTTGGTCATTGTAGTGCTTATTATCACTTGGCTTGTACCTGATGAGCATATTTTATTCAGTAGTTTGCTCGTCTTATGGTGTCATGTAAATTATCCAGTTTCCCGAGTTATATTTGAGATTTCTTCTGTTCACTATTTGCATGCTTTTTTTTCCTTTATCTTTATTTTAACCTATAAGGATTAAGATTTCTTCTATCATCAATTAATATACAATCTTATTTTATCGACCTCCAAATAACGAAAGTGAAAAAATAAAGAAGGGGCTCAAAAAATTCATTGACAATTCATATAATTACATAACACAATTAATTTGCAGATAGATTTTAATTAATTTTAAAATTTGTCTGAAATCTCTGTTAAAATTGTAAAAATTATTTTTCAAAAAAGTAATCTGTCAAAAAAATATACGAAAAAACAAAAGGTCAAGCTGACACGCTTTAATTGGTATTGAGATAATATTTCTATACAGAAATATAGGATGAGAAAAGAAGGTCGACTATCACGCATAATTAGCAAGTCTTTTCGCCGCATGCAAGGAGATGTTTCCTTATATCGATCTTTGATTTTACGTTTAGCTGCTTTTACCCAACACGGAACTTTATAATAAGGCAAATTAATTAATCTTGTCAAGAATTCATCACAAAGACATTGTAAGCAATTATATAGACAATAATGAAAAGTTTTAAATACACATAACGTAATAATATATATACAAAATGATATGATAAAATTTAGATGATAAAATTAATTTATTAATTGGTATGTCATTTAAAGAGTAATATCACGTAGTTTTATATTAATCTCTTTATTACATAGAGTTTGTAACTATAACATTATTCATAAGAATAGAATAATATTATATTTATAAAGTACTCATGCAAAAATGTATAAATTTTTTAATATATAAAAACACACAAGAAGATAAATGAATGAATTTGTATACAAACTCAATTCAGTCAAACTAATTTATATAAATAAAATGATGTGACACTAAAAATATTGTGCCATATATATATATAATTTAAATATTCTACCTTCTCATAAATAAGGAAAGAAAAATGTTTGAAAATATTAATAAAAAAGGGATACATGATTATAATTAAACTCTATTTTTATATGAACTCTCCTAAAATTTTAGTGATTTGTGTAATTTATGTAATTTAATTAAGTCTTTATATTTGTATTTTTATATTATGAAATCATGATGAGAAGCAGACAATTAAACTAAAAGTCAAAAATCTCAACTAAATGGACCCAATAATTGATGTGTTCCGAACATTTTGTAACAAAGAGTAGCAGCAATTAATGTAGTATTGCACAATGACATGTATGATGACGAATGCTGGGCCCCATTCTCAAGACCAATTAGAGTAATTCACTGTTCACATGCAGCTTGCACTTTGCTCATTATAACGCGCCCTTCTTTCTTTCTATTCGGATTTTATTGATTGAATCATTGAATGAAATAAACTTATATTATTATATAGTAGTCGGTGCTTCTAGTTCTATAATTTATATATGTAGCGGCCTTCTTTCTAATCGGATTTTATTGATTGACTAAAATAAATTTGTTCACTAAATTTATATTATTATACAATAGTCGGTGCTTCGAATTTCATACTCTATATGGGTAAGTGTCACTGTTTTACCATATGTATCTACTCAACTAATAACTAATGTGACCAATTACGATAGGTTATCGTTTACTTTAGCAAAGTTGATGTGCATAAAAAATGATTTTCGACCTAACAACTTAAATATTATAAACCTGTTGGAAAACGATAGTTAGACTATGTTACACTTGCAGCCAAACCATATAATTAGTTTATATATATATATAAATATGTGTTCCATGCAATAAGTCTTCTTTCCTAGCGTGAAATGGAGAAAATAGCTAGACATTTTGCCTGTTTTCAGCCGATCTATATGCTTAATCACAGGATGATAAAATTCTAATTAAAAATTGCATGTACATATATAGTCTATAGCTTTCCATAGTTCCAGCTGATTAATTATAACTTTGCACATGCTGGTGTGAACGATCGAAATGTATTTAAAATATTTTTCCCTCTTTTCCTGGCACGTGCAATCACAGATCTCTTAGAAAGATTGTGTTCACAAGATATCTTACCATTTACAAAATGGAGTAGAGAAGTAAATTATATAGATTAACTCAAAACAGTATGCCTGGGCTATTAAGAAGGAAGAAAAAAGATTAACAATAATTAGTGTACCATAGAAGTTTCTGATCATATTGTTCCTAATGATTGTATCTCTTTAAGTAGTACTTAACTGTTAATGGTAACTAGTTAGAATTGCCATTAGATTTCTATAACACATTCGTATGGGTTCGTGTTTAGTACTTCTTAATCAAATAAGGGATGGAATTTCTTTTGGGAGAGCAAAATGGTTCATTTTCTGTTCATTGAACTTGAAATAAGACCCACCAAGAAAGAATAGATATATCTCATTAAGCATTGATACGTGTAGTAGGGCACTCACACATTTATATCTCATCAGGCTGCAAGACGAGATGCCTTGGCCCCATTTTTTAAACTTTTAAACTCAGTGCGGGACTCTCCTCCACTCACATTATTCTTGGTTGTTTAGTTGATGTAGTGAACTATTAAAAAAAAATAGAGTGACATAAGTGATGACGGTAGCTATCTCCCACATTCCTATAAAAGGGCATTCACTCCTCTTAGTTTTGCATAGCTTCAAAACTCGATTCAAAATGTCTTCCAAATACTTACTAGTGTTGTTCCTTTTTGGCGCGGTTCTTCTCACCACCTCCTCGCTTGCTGATCACCACCATGACCCTCCCAAAAATGAGCGTCAACCACCAGAGTACAAGCCACCACATGGACACATGTTGTTAGCGGAGTCTGAGGTTTCCCACAAGCCTAATTTTCCAAGGCAGGGCGGCAAGGGAGAGAAGCAACCACAGAAGCACAGGCCACCGCATGGACACATGTTGGCAGAGGAGGTTGAGGATTTGCACGAGCCCAATTTCCCAGGACATGGTGGAAAGGGAGAGAAACAGCCACCGAGCAACCCTAACTTCCCTGGACACGGCGGCAAGGGAGAGAAGCAACCTCCGAAGCACAAACCACCACATGGACACATGTTGGCAGAAGAGGTTGAGGATTTGCACAAGCCTAATTTCCCAGGACATGGTGGCAAGGGAGAGAAACAGCCACCGAGCAAGCCTAACTTTCCAGGAGACGGCGGCAAGGGAAAGAAGCAACCACCGAAGCACAAGCCACCACATGGGCACATGTTTGTGGAGGAAGTTGAGGACTCACACAAGCCTAATTTCCCAGGACATGGTGGGAAGGGAGAGAAGCAACCACCCAGTAAGCCATTCCCAGGTCACGGGAAGGGAGAGAAGCAGCCACCAAAACAAAAGCCACCACATGGACAAATGTTGATGGAGGAAGTTCAAGAGGAGTCACACAAGCCATTTCCTGGACAGAATGGCAAGGGAGGGAAGCAACCACCGAGGAAGTTGAAGCCGCCAACTCACAGCGAGAAGCCACCAACGCCCTACCACAAGCCACCCCGTAAGCCTCCAGCAGCCAATTGAGTGCACCAATACGAGTTTATATAGTAGAAATAAAAGCCCAAAATGATATAACTAAAACGCCATTCGGAGTTACTGTTCTATGTTATCAGTCACCGCTAGCAGCGTGCTCGTTCTTGCTTTAATTAGGTCTTTGTGCTTGGTTTCTCATCTTATGTAAACTGAGTATTTCGCGTCTCCCACGACATATATACTTGAGTTTTCCTTCTGTTTATTATTTGACAAACATATCCATCTCAGACTTACGAATTAACTTCCCTCTAGCAAATTTCAAACAAACGAGAAAAAAGAAAAATACGTAAGATGAAGATTCGACCTCATATTTTGGCCTCATCCTCATGCAATAAGATATAATTAACCATTTTAATTACAGTCTACTTCTGATAGGACTTATATGATCATATCTCTATTTGGCTCTTAAACGAAGAGAATGTAGTTTCACTGCCGTGCTGATTTAGGTCCGTTGGAGAGAAAGCATAATGAATGAAGATATGACTAAAAAACTTTAAGAGGCCACTACGTACAATACTGAATAACACAACCAAACCGAGTACTAATAAGGGTGATAATTGGGATATATGAAAATATTCTCAAAGATTGATAACCTCCTTTCTCTTAACTTATAGATGGGATTTGACATGAAATTCAATTTTGTTGATGCTTGATTTTGACACCAACTAATCACACGTGAGAAATGCTAAGCGAGCTTAAAAGTCACACATGATTATAAAAGTATTTAGTTGAATAAAGGGTGAAGAACAATGTTTAAAGTGGTTCGGATGCTCATAAGGTGAATCTTACGACCACTGATATAGAGAGAAAGAGAGTATGCTATTCCAGAGTGAAATTAGCCAATCCCACAAATGGGAGAGAAGTCCCCTATTTATAGTGGGATGAATCAAGGTAATGATTACTAAATCTGCGAGTGGGGTGGATACCATGCAAATCCTTCTTTGCGTCTTATTGTTCACCTGCCCGAGTGATTTTCTCGACTTGTGCAGGGATTGGACACGTGGACCTTTTTCAACCATTCACCAATCTGGCGTACACCCACTACACTGGCAGAAGCATGCCACTCACGTCATCATGCGACGTGGCTGCATCTGAGCTGTTGAAGAACTTTCTTAAGCTCTGACCGCCCATGCTAACAAGACTCCACGTCAGTCCTACTTTTCCAGGCATAATAAAAGTCCCCTAGTTTTTAAGGTTTGAGAATTGAACCTTGAGAACTTCATAATTATGCCTTGATTTGACACATTCTGAATGACACCCGATCGACCTGACCTGGCTACGAGGAGGTCGCGAGACATTTCCACATAGGCGACCTGAAGTGGTCTCCTTTCGCAAGGTCTACGACCTGAGCCAGACCTTATTCAGGGCAGTATTAATGCGCTTCTTATCTTGACCGAGGTCAGCGACCTGGTTATACTTAGCGTATTTTTTGCTGAAGGCGAGGAGTCATATTGTTTCACGACTGACCGTTGCATCACTTCGCAACCGTCATGCGACGAAGAGTATTTTATCTAACAACCTCTTCAGATGTTATCCGTTACGCTTTGGCAGCTAATCTATTAATGAAACACATTTTGCTCTGACAGACGTGTCCTATGCGCAATAAGTGACACCCAGGCGAATTAAATGTAAGCCATGCTGAAACGACATTCCTTATCAGAGCATTAAATACGGATGAGAGCACATTTAATGTGGAGGAGGGAAACGAGCCGTCGCTCGATTATTTCAACGGAGGGAAGCGACGATTTGGTTTCTCGAAGCGTGACGGTTACTTCTTCTTGTTGATTGATGACATGTGGTCGCGATCAACGGTGAGAGATGATTTCCGTTCAAACGTCGCTTGGCTTCAGGAAAACCAAGCGCCATTTCCTTCACTATAAAATCCCAGGCTTATCTCAAGCAATGTCACAATACTCACTTTTTCAGAAAGAGCTAGAAGCTTTCGTGAGACCAGATTTTCCATTTCTCAGATTGGTGCACACTTGACGTTCACAGCAGGAAATTCAATCTCCATATTTAAGGGGTAAGGATGACTCTTTCATTATTTTCCTTTTTCTGATTTGATGATAACCATGCAATAACGATGGACGTTTGCGGGTGGTTGATCGGAGAAGAGGTTTTCCCCTAGGTTTTGAATCTCTGGGGGTGGCCCCCAGGGATCCGCAGGTTTTTTCTGGGGTTTAAGGAAGACAGTGTTTATCTTTTCTTCCACGACTTTGTACGATGACTGAGTGATTCTTGTGTGTCGCTCTTTTTCAAATCGCAGAAGAAATTGACTCGTCAGCGACCCGAACTGACGAAGGAACGAGCTCGCGGGTGCAGGACCCCCCAACGGGCCCCTCACAGGAAATCCTATCAATAGCAACAGGAGAAGAAATTCAAAAAGCGGTAGACCAATACGCAATTAGCGTAGATGTCTACCAGCATAGGACGTATACGGCTCGGAATCCGCCAGAGGGAATGGCTGCGATCTCTGAGAACATCTTCAAATGTGAAGCACTGATCCCTTTCCACCCTTTTATAAAGTCGGTCCTCGATCACTTCGGGGTCGCACCGTTACAGTTGACGCCAAATGCGTATAATATGATAGCCGTAGCTATGTATATCTCATGCGGCAAGAATGGTCTTAGCGAGCTAACCGCGCCAGAGCTCGACTGCTCGTATTACTTGAAGAAGAGTAAAGACAAGGACTCTTTTTACCTCTCGAAGCGATCAACGATCGAGGAAGGGATACATAGTTACCCTAGCAATGTTGGGGCGTATGAGAAGAAATTTTTCTTTTTTCAAGACGATGGCATTTGCTAGTTTAGGGAGCCGAGTAGATCTTCCTTTCTTTTACTTGACAAATTTTCCCTCTTTTAATCTTTGCTAATGAATTTTTTGCTTCTTCACAGTAAACAAGACGACCAGGTTGTTGGCTCTCACTGACTTCAACCGAATAACTGCCTTATGTTTTCTGCTCAAACAGAGTCTTGACGCGAGGCTGCTCGTGACAACCGTAAACTTGCAGAAATACGGCTTCTTCAACCCCGAAGCGACCTTAGAATTCTTATCGAGTAAGTATCTGTATCCTTAACCAACTTTGTTGTTTGCATACAGTGAACTATTTCGCTAACGATGTTCGCATGCAGCGACCATGCCACCGAAGGTACCCAGGTCGCTAAGAGCCAGGCAATTTGCTTTTCCCTGGGTTGGTACCACGAGACCAATCGGGGTGGCCTCTACTGGTCCCCCCATCGGAGGAACGTTGACGGGGGTGCCGGCTCGAGCAGCGGATGCTCCTCAACCTACGGCTGCCCGACCTAAGCAGAAAATCGTGGTCTAGAAATTGAAGAAGAGGAAGCAGCTTTGGGTCGAGAAGTCAAAGTCCGAGCCGAAGGGCTTGGGCATTCAACCTGGGAGGTCGCAGCGTTACCAGGCCTTTTGCTCGGGAGGACCTCCCAAGGGCGTGTTCGGCACTTCCATTGCCCCTAAGGATCCGCAAAGGGAGTAAGGGGAGGTCGAAGATCCTAGGAGGAGAGCGGGCAAGGAACCAGTGGGTGAGACGCCACATGCTGCGGGCACAGGCACGCCCATGCTAGACTCTATGGGGCAACTCCGGGAACATTTGCAGCCAGTGATGTTTACTCTGCTAGAGTGTCAGCTTGCAAAGGCATTTCAACAGTTCGTGGCCTTTAACCCCGTGGACCTGATGACCATGGCGTTTCAGTATCAAATCCAGGTAAACAAGGTTTGTCCTCGTTGAGGACTTTCTTACATTTCCTTACTTTCTTAATGAAAAGGAATTTAACCTCTTGCTCTCTTTGCTACGCAATCCTTGCTTGCCATGCACCTGGCCCAACAGAAGACTCGGTTGGGGGCCGTTGAGGGGCTTGTCGAGCTGAGAGAGGAACTTATCCACCGTTCAAATGAATCAATATATGTCTGAGAGGAACGATGCGCTTCGTACGGTGGATTTTTAGAAGGCCAAGCTAGAGAAGAGGGGAGAAGAGGTTAAAGAGCTCCAAAGGACAATGGCCAGGCTCACCAAGGAGGCTGGCGAGAAAGAGCTGGAGCTACGAGCGAACTCCGAGCGAGCCTTGCAAGCAGAGCACTACAGAACAGCATAGCTGTGGGAAGCCACCGAGAAGCAGAGGTGGGCACTTGAGGCCCAATTGCCCTAGGGTCGCGTCGCTTTGCTAACCGAAGAGATGAAGCGACAAGAGCTGGAGATTGAGAAGAGGGTTGCCAACTGGTCGATCCAGTTCATCTATGCCTTTCGGCCAAAGAATCCCAAAATAGACCTCGCGGACGACTACCAGAGGATCCTCACTTCCATGGCACAGGCCGATAACGAAGAGAAAGGTCAAGGGCCTGATCTAGAGGATGAGCATCCAGAGGAGTACGTCCTGCAGGATCCAGCGGTCGACCAGGTGATTGGCGACCAACCTGGAGATACTGAGGTCGCACCTTCGGGGCCTAGAGATGAAGGCCAGTGATGGTTTCTGCTTTTCATTGCTGTTTCTGTGCTTGTGAATCTGTACTTGCCTTTTTTAATTTTCTATAAATAAAGAAGTTATTTCCTTAATCATTCATGAGTACTTATAATTTTTCGTACCTCACAAACGTTACACATGTGGACACGAGGTCGCTTTCTAACTATTTACAATAGTATTTGTACAAAGGATATATGCGAACAGAATTGGCACACATGCGAAAAATGATATTACAAAAGAGCTTATCTTATTTACAAGGCTTTTTTTTTTTCTAAAGTAAGTCTTTACAAGAAAATTAGAAAATGAGTTCATAATTACTAATAATAGGGGCGAAGATGTTCAGCATTCCAAACTCACGGTACTTCAGAATCATTCAGCCTTTTAAGATGATAAGTCCCCAACCTTATCACTTTAGCAATGCGGTATAGGTCTTCCCAATTCGGACCCAATACTCTCGCACTTGGTTCTCTTAGACCAAAAAAAACTTCTTTCAGAACAAAGTCGCCGACCTGGAAG